CAAAAAAAAAAACCCGCGGGCGGGCCAATTTGGCCCGCGGGCTAATGCGGGCGGGCCACGGGCTATGTATTTTCCAGCCCGCAGAAATGCGGGCCATTTTGGCCCACCCCGTTTGGGCCAGTACGGGCCGGAGCGGGCCGGGCCGGAGCGGGCCAGGCCGGACCGGCCCGTTTGACAGTGCTACTCACTATTCATTCGCTCAAATCACAAAAATGGAAAATAAAGTCCTAAACATACTAATCAATTTGGGTTGAAGATAGTTAAAACTAATTACGACTAGTGAAAACAAGTAAACGAGCAAGTAAGCAAGTGAACATACTACAAACTCTAGCAACTAAACCGGTGAACAAAACCAAGGGCAACAAAAGCGAAAATAAGAGAAACGAACTCCATTTAGCATGCTTGATAGCTAAAATTGAAATCCTACCACGAAATAACCGAGCTAAATATCAAGTCCCGATTTTTCTAATAGCAATCAATCAATCAACTCCAAGCATCATAAACGAGCTCACAAAAGCAAGGAAAACGAAAATAACTAAAATAGCTACTAAAAATCCGATAACCGAGCAAGCCCTAATTACTTCTACGCACGAGATAGCAAGTAAGTACGAAATCGAGATTATAAGGTTTAAAAGTAAATACTCACATCCCTAACGCATGCTCGATCGATATCGGAAGAAAAAAAATTAAAACTTGCATAAACGAGAAGTCACCGGAAAAAGTCGCCGGAAAAAGTGTAAATAACATCCACCTTACTCTAGAGAGAAAATAAAAGACTTAAGATAAGAACCAAAAAAGGAAACATTTCATAATGAGCTAGATAATCCAAAATGCAAAGGCTCAAAAGTATTTATACTCTACTCAAAACACGCACTAAAAAAAAACGCAAAATTAAAACGACACTCTCGAGCTCGAGGAAACACCGGCGGGCACGCGCCGGGTGCAATGGTGAGAAATGAGCACTCTCGAGCTCGAGGAAACGCCGGCGGGCACGCGAGTGTGTAATGGTGAAGGAGAGGAACACTCTCGAGCTCGAGGAAACAATGGCGAGCTCGCGATGGTGACACATGGAGGACTCTCGACCTCGAGGAAGCAATGGCGGGCTTGCGAGCATGCAAAAAAAGACTTTGGCTCGGACTCTCGACCTCGAGGAAACACCGGCGGGCTCGCGAGTGCTATGGGCTAGGCTAGCATGAAGCTCTCGATATGGATTTGACTAAGGCTCCAACTTCTCGGTCCAATCAACAACTTGCACGGAATGGCTTGAAACTACTCGGAGACTCGACTTCTTCGGAAAAAAAATGCTTGTCTCTCGGAATGTGGCTCGACTCTCTCGTAACATAGCTCGACTCTCTCTCTCGATCTCCGGAATAAACCTGAAATTTATACCCAAAAACACGGAAAAATACGCCAACATATAAAAATAAAAAGAAAAACATAGAAACACACGATAAACGACAAAATGGACCGATCAACCTAAAAACAATCATAAAATCGACTCGAAAGCACACAAAAACACATAGAAAAACACACAAAAACACAATAAACAATATGTATACAATACTATGCACTTAGTAATAACTAAATATGCATAAAAAAGAATTATATATGTCATCCTTATGAACTAAATATGCACCAGTAATATCAACTATGTATGCACTGTTTATGTACTAAATATGCACATTTTACTAACTAAATATGCATCAGTATTGAACTAAATATGCAATGAAAATATGGAATAAAATATATATTTTATACAATTAAGTTAAATATAATAATTAATGATTTTTATTATATAATTAATTTTAATTTTAAATTGATTAATAACACAAATAAATTGTTATGATTGGATCTCAAATAAAATAGGTATGCACTGTTCATGAACTAAATATGTATAATGAATTAAGTAAATATGCATAATAAACTAATTATATAAATATTATTATATATTTAATTTAAATAACAAGTATGCATTTCGTATTAACTAAATATGCATCATAAAGTACCTAAATATTCATAATAAATTAGCTAAATATGCATCATAAATTACCTATATAAACTGCACATTTTATTGCATATTTTTCGCTGCATATTTAGTTCATTCATGATGCATATTTAGTTCATAACAGGTGCATACTTAGTTGATATTATTGGTGCATATTTAGTTCATAAGTACTGCATGTACAATTCATATTCTATGCATGTTTAGTTCATATTGAATGCATGGTACTGGATACATATTTACTTCATACATATATAAGGATGGCAGCGGTTCGGGTTCGGATCGGATGGAACCTCAGGGCACCCAAAACCAAAACCCAAACTTAAAAACCAAAACCAAAACCAAAACTGTTTCGGGTGAAAATCCTTCACCAAAACCAAAACACGCGGATACCCAAAAACCAAACGGATACCCAAAAAACCAAAAATATTATAATAAAACACCAAAGACAACAACATAAAACATGATAACTTAGAGAGTACCAGACAACCAGTCACAAATTAGCAAGTACCAACGTACAGTACAAGCCATAAAGGTAGTAGAGTACATAGCTAAGTCAAGCCATCACGGGAGACGGGGAGAGGATAAGAGGGAGAGGAAATTTCCACTTATATAGCTAGGGTTTTTGGTGGGCTTTTTGATGGGCCGTCTATTTTGGGCACCCAACGGAGCACCACGGGCGAAATATAGGATCCGCACCAAAACCGAAGACTTTCGGGTACCCGAAACCGCAAAACC